TATCTCTACTATATATATATATATATATATATATATATATATATATGTATAAATTAAATAATACATTTCAGTGAATGAGTTTCCAGTACTTAAAGCGGATGGAATAAAATTCTTAATGACATTTAGATCGATATTACCTTATGAAATGGTAATAGGAAATTTGCCGCAATTAATAAGACATCTAAGTGCCAATAGTATTGTTGTACATACTTATGCTGCTTGTGCAATTGAAAAAATTTTCACAATAAGGGGTGCTGATAATTTGACCATGTAAGAAATAAAAATGATATCTTAATCATCAATTCATACGATTAATCAATTGAAAATCTTTTCAAATTTTATAGAGTCAAAGGGATCAATATATCACCGTTAGCGGCAGATTTATTGAAAGGACTCTTTGCGTGTTTGAATGTCCCAGGTTCTGAGGAAAATGAATATGTTATGAAAGCTATCATGAGGAGTTTCAGTATTCTGCAAGATGCTGTGGTGCCATTCCTAGCCGATTTACTTCCAAAACTTACTGAGAAACTTGCGATTGTATCTCGAAATCCAAGTCGGCCAAACTTCAATCATTATCTCTTTGAAACTTTAAGTTTGTCTATTAAGTAAGTTATTAATATCCATATCGTTCATGCAAAGAAAATGCTGTAATTATCGTGAATTGACTTTTTTTATTTTTATTTTATTTTTTTCTTTTGTATTTTATTTTGCATTCTTTATAGTGAAAACTCGCACTTTTTTTTAGAATTGTTTGCAAGACGAATCCTGAAGCAACGTTATCCTTTGAACAAGCGTTGTTTCCTATTTTTCAAGGAATTTTGCAACAGGACGTACCAGGTAAGCTATTCATAATCGAATATGTTACAAATTGTTTAATTGCTCATATTTATATCTTTTTTCAGAATTTATTCCTTATGTTTTTCAAATTCTTGCGTTGCTTTTGGAGCTACGAACTAATCAAGATATACCGGAATCATATATGGCTTTGTTCCCGTGTTTGTTATCGCCTGTACTATTTGAACGTCAAGCCAATATCCATCCTTTAATTCGTTTGTTACAAGCATTCATTAGTCATGGTTCGCATCAAATTATAGCACAGGACAAAATAAGTGCACTGTTGGGAGTGTTCCAGAAGTTAATTGCATCAAAAGCAAATGACCATGAAGGATTTTTACTAATACAAAATATTATTGAGCACTTTGAACCGTAAGAATATTTGTAAAAAAGTCTATTTTTTTATATTGTTTATACTTTATATTGTATATACTTTTAACGAATGATGTATCAATTATAATGCTAGTATGATATTGCAGAAATGTTTTGGAGCCGTATATGAAACAGATTTTCGTGCTGTTCTTTCAAAGGCTTTCAATATCAAAGACAACGAAATTTGTAAAAGGTCTAATAATATTTTTTGCATACTATATCATTAGATATACATCGTCAAGTTTGATTACAATTATCGACCAAATACAACCACAGTGAGTTTTATGAATATTGTATAAGATGTGTTATATCTCAGGATATTTGAAGAATTACAATAAACAATAACTTTTATATCTAGAATGTTTGGAATGGTCGTGGAGCGTGTACTCATAACCGATCTGCAAAAAATAGCGGGTGAAGTAGAACGAAAAGTGGTGGCTGTGGGAATTTCAAATTTGCTAATTGACTGTCCCATGATGCTGGAGGCTCCATACAATTCGTACTATCCTCGTTTGCTAGCTGCATTGATTGAATTCTTTGAGCTTCCGCAAGACCAAAGTTTATTGCCGGAGGATGACGCGTTTCCAGATCAAGATGATGCGGCTGGCTATCAAGTTGGCTATAGTCAACTCATTTGTGCAAGAAATCCTCGGAAAGATCCATTGCAAAGTATGAACTTTTTTCCATATTTAATTCGTCCTGAGATAAATAATGACTATTTTCTCATATACTTTCACATTAAAAGGTGTACAACTGTTCTGAAAACATTAAATAAAAATTCTAAATAATGTTTGTAAAGATATACCATTTAATTAATATTGCATTTATATAAAATTGTGTAATATGTTGACAGATATTGGTGACATACGTTTGCATTTGGCACAAGGTCTTGGAAGATTGTCACCAGGACATTTGCCGGGATTATTGGGCCAAATTCCCGAAGCAAATGCGAATCACTTGAGAAATTATTTGCAAACAGCTGGTATTACAGTTGCATAATACGAACTAGATGTCCGAAACAGACTGAAGATTCATTTAATAGCTCGAAAAATGAATAATATTGAACTTAATAAATTGTAATTAAAGAAGAATCTTTTTTATTATAACTGTACAATTTATGAAATACATCGTATTCTATTTGTAATTGCTAATATGCAGAAACTGAAGAATTTTTCCATTCTGTGTAACTCGGGTTTATTAAAAACACTTTTTTTTTCTTTAGTTATTTAGTCATTTATTTAATCAATTTAACATATTTTGTTTATGGTATTTACATGTAAAGTAACATTGGCACTCAATTTGTATAAATTCTTTTTCAAATATTCCTGAAATATTTATTTTTTATTAAATGAGTTATCTAAAATATCATCTCTATTTCTTAAATGTAAAAACACATCTCATTTATTAATTCTAGAATATTTTTCATCATCTTTGAAAAAGAAATTATATTAATACTAATAGCTTATAAGAATAGTGAACAAGTTTATATTGATAAAATATATATATTACAAATTGAAGAAATATTAGTAAAATGCTAATTTATACTTTTTAAATAATTAAGATGTTTATGTTAAAAATTGATAACATAATTTTTTTAATTTTTAATTTTTTTATTAGAATATCAAAAAAAGATGTTGAGAGAGAAAGATTATATCATATTTTTTATTATATTATAGTTATTTTTATATATTATAGTATTTTTAATATTGACAAATATAGTAGATACAAAAGAAATCAAATAATATTGTCATAATTTAAAATAGATATTTTTATCCTAGAAGATATTCAAAAGATAATAAAATATCAACTAATGTTTGCTTAGTGGCTATAATAACCTGAGCTTTTTATATAAATTTCTTACATAAACAAAAGAATATTGTCTTTTTGAAATGAAAATGTATTGCTTATAAGATTTTATAAAGTAATAAAAGTTTGAAATTCAAATTTTCAGTTATTTTACATTATAAATTTTTTTAATTTAAACAGTGATGTGTGTTAAAAATATTAATCATTATATTATATATTTGAACAAATATTTAAAAAATATAAAATTTTTAATAACAAAAAAACAAGTATTTAAAAATAAAAAACATAATAACATGTATAATTTGTAATATAAGTAATGGAGATTTATATAAAAATTTACGTAATGTACAAAGGATATATCATATATAATATTGGTTGATAATGCTATTAGAATAAATGTAACTAGAAACTTTTTTCTTATATTTCAAGTTAAATATTCAAATTTGTGTATTTTTTTGCAAACATTGATGTATAAAAAAATAATCTCTGATAAATATCTTCTTGTAATTTTAAGCCACTTAGCGTCATATAGATTTTGACACGAAATAGGTTATTTCTGAACGGATATCACATATATGCTTACTATACGAGAAATACGATTGGCATCTTGTAAATATGTACGATATGCAGCATACTCATTTTTTTTTTTACTGAAGCTACAAAGAATGCATATACTCATTGGTGATTGGCTATGGCATACAAGAAATTGATGGTTTTATTTCCATGTTTAAAGATCCAGCGCAGAATGATCCATAAAATTCTTCAACAAATTATTAGACATTCTGTAGAAAGAAATATTAAATGTAACATAATTTATAAAACTTTATAAAAAATATTTCAATATATATATTTTAATTTATATTTATTTTGTTTATGTTAATATCATATAAAATCTACACGAGTCTTTTGAATAATACTTATTTCTAGCGTAACATTCATTGTGTTTTTATACAATAAAATACATACTTTTTCACCATGTGATCGTAAATATATGATGGAATTATCGTCACTGTGATGATATCTCCACCTTTCTCAATTTCTGCTGTGACCTCTTTATCTTTCATTCCAACTACGTTCTGCAAAATATTGATTTGTCTAGTAGTTGTTTCATTATTTACTTTATTCTCTATTCTAAATAGATACTAGCCATGTTCTACATAACAGTATTACTAAATCTATAATACATGTACGTAAACTGTAGTAAACATTTTTAGTAGTATGTATCGAAACATGTGTTGTGCAAACCTTTCCATTGATCTCGAGTACTTGATGATCGGTCAAAAGTCCATTTCGCGCGGCTGAAGAATCTTTCACTAGAGCGATTATTTTTCCATTTTTAAATTGAAATCCGATGTAACCCATACTATCTTTATGCATTGTTACTGTACGCTCAAATGGTCTGTAATAAACTTAATATTATATTCATCAAAAAATTAAATGTTAGTAAAAATTAAAGATTTTGTAATTAAAATATAAATTCTGACCTATCGCGTACTACTACTTTAATCCCATTGACATTTGCATTACGGAAAAGCTTATGCACTTGATCCATTGAATATCCAGCAACACATACGTCGTTAATGCTCAAAATTTGATCACCGAAACGTAATCCAGCCATTGCTGCCGGAGAATTTTGACTTACAAGGCATACAAAGATTCCATTATTTATCGCATGTACTCTAACACCAACTTTTCCATCAGCATCTTTACATAATGTCAACTATAAAATTAAAAGTATTTTATTAAGAAGCTATAATTCTTCACGAGAAATATGTACATAATTATATACGGAATATTGGAATATTTTGATAAATATGAAATAGTAGAAATTGGTTTAGCAATAAATTATTACCTCTCTGATACCATTTGTCACATGAGCTTTTTGTAAAGTTATTAATTGTCCTGATAAAGGAGCAATCATTCCTGTTAATGGACCACACGTTATATTTGATGAATTAAATGCCACCTAAAACCGTATTAATTTATTATAGTAATTAAAAAGTATGAATTATTTTATATAATATTGATATACATCAGCATTTTGACGTGTGGCAAGCGCATATTCGGGCATATTTTGCGCAATGATTTCTTCATTCAGCTCGAGACCCATGTAATCTCCTAGAGATGGATACAACATAGTGGGTGCTGAAGGAATATAGGTCGGTGTCGAAGGAGCTGAGGGAAGTGCAAGTTCAGTCGAAGCATATTGTGATTCAGTTTGCATTTGAGCCTGCAATATTATTTCAGTTGCATAAATAACTTGTTATTTCTGGATAACAGAAAAATTATTTTGTAAATTACAATATACATTTTATAATTTTGGAACATATAGATTCTTTACATCGAGCCTACCTTCATCAAATGATCTACTTTCATATCTTCCAGTGTGGGATAGAGAGACATTTTGAATCTTTTATGAATATTATTCTGCAATGAAATGTAAACATTAATTTTTTCTCTTATTCAAAGTTTTTTTATTTCTATTTATTTTTATTAATGAGAGTAACAATTTTATTCAAACATTATTTTTTGTAGAACAAAGAATCAATAAAAAGTATTTATTTTTATACTTGATTGGGAGCATAACATAAATAATTATATGACATCAGTATAAATCACTTCCTCATTCATTGCAATTAGAACATTTTATATATGCTTGCATTTCTTGTAAGCAAAATTTTCATATATATCACTGATATATCGCTGCTTCAAGTCTCTCTCTCTCTCT